AACAAACAAACCTTCCCCGGTTGAAGAAACAAACACGGGTGTCCTTTTTGGGGGGCTAGGGTATAGAAGATACTGTACCCTAGATTTCCAAGACTATTAAAGAAACGGTTGACCTGGTTCTGTAGTGTGAAATCCTTAGTAAACCAGCCTATCAATTTAAGTATATGCCCGAATTGCAAGTGGTATGTGTCCTTTCCCCCTAGGCTATTTCCAACCCAACTCATCCCATCCCACTCAAACATGGTTAAGCCCTGGCACAGCTTGGCTGAGGAAAACACGAGCAACAGAGTTGACTCTGCGATGACCCGGGACCCTTCAACATCCTCATGGAAGTGGATGGCATGGCCTCTGGAAAAACCATCGACAATCCATCGACAGTCTTCCATGAGCCACATACATCGTGTGAGACACTGCGGTTTTGAGAAACATTGTGCTCCCCAGTTTGGAATCAGGTTCCATTGTCTTTCCATGTCTTGCAGAAACGTTGGTCACTTCCATTCTCTTCCAGGGAGGGTCATCAACTCCACAGTGGAGAAAAAAAACCCTTCGCTTCAGGTGGAGATTTCGCCCACATCTGGATCCCTCACGCAGAACCTGCTCCCTCCAGAGTCCCTCCTCGTCGAGGGAAAGGCACTTGCTCAAGGAGTCCTCACAACGGCGACGCCTCAGCGCGAGGCGCGTCATGACATCGGCACAGAACAATTTGAAGCGCAAATGCTATATATAGACCCCCAAACAATAAGTAGAACAGTAGCTCCCCCATAAACATGTATTGGAAACCGTATTTAATCTATTTGGGGATTATAGATGCTACCAGCTGCTACACCCTGCTAGGGTTTCAAAGGAAACCCTGAACAACATGACAAAAACCTTGTACGAAATCGCACAAAATCCAAGGTACATGTCCCTTCGGAGGTGATCGGATTCTGCTTGATCCAGCCGGAAGGACCCCTTGAAATCGTTCACACCCCAAAGGGCCCCAAACACCACCTGTCTGGGACTGCCATAGGACTGCCATTTCAGGTGGTCAATGTAGACCAGTACAGATTCCCGTACAGGTCATGTCTGGGAATTGGTAAAAAAGAACCACGTCCCGTGGAGTGTGGATAGGGCGGAGATGCGCCTCTTCGTACTGGCCGCGCTGGCGGCGCTAAGCGGGACCAAAGACCGGCGCGTGGTCCATGTCATGAGCACCAAGGGGTCCATGGGTCCATGGGTCCATGTCATCCGAGAGCCTCCCTAGCCATCCACGTATGAATGTCTATTCATAAGACTGCATTAATACCTTGAGTCTCCAAAGACCTTTTTTTTTTCAGCGTTTTTGTTTTGGGTCTAATATTTTTGCGTTTTTTACGTCGTTTGGATGCAACAAGATGCGTTTTGGACGCCGAAAAAAGGTCTCAGGACACTGTCTAAGGAGGATCTGACAGGGCACAAACAAAAGGAACATTTCGTGACATATGCAAAAAAGAGTGCTTTCTTTCAAAAACCGTTTTTTCTTGGAAAGGCAAATTTAAAAGGGTCATTGGAGACTCAAGGTATAATTACTGTATAAAACTATAAAACGTCATCACCTTATGCAACATTCAACCTTAAAGACATCGATCATCTCATAGTATTTATGTCATATGTTTTTTCTGTCATAGTCATAATATATGTCATAGGTGTGGCAGGAATCCACTCTGGCACGCCAGGTCTCTTTCCAACCGCTTCTGGAACACCACCGTCGGCCGAGCGGCTCCCGCAGCATGGTCTCCTTGGCGATGGAGCGAAACACCAGGTGGCGACACCCCCGGCGAGCCGATTCCTCCCAAAACCCCATGTGGCAAATGATGTGGCAAGAATGTGCAACACAGACACGAAGCAAATCCATTCGGCGGCCGTTGTCCCTTGCCCTACATGTCGCTCTAGACCCAACAACATCTAGTCCTCCTGAGATCCTCTGAGTAATTAGTGTTTTTGCATGACCAACTCCGGAAGAATGATGTATTTCACCTGTAGGGTCGGGTCCAAAAACATTCCCCAGGGCCGCCCCACCCCCCGTTGAATCAAAGGTGTAGAAACACCAGGGCCGGGGCGACCGATTGACCACACTCCACCGAGTGTGTAGGCCGTTGGTTGATATCAGGGGGTCCATGTACCAGCAGTTCTGGAATGGTTTTGAGTCCCTAAGTGAGGTGAATCACCCAAGCACTCCATTACCTCCATACATTGACCCCCTCTTGGTCCACCCCTTTGGCCGTTTCTCGTTCTTCCTCCGTGTCTGGGTGGTGATCAGCACCATCACCCCGTTCAACCCGTTCGTTCGATCGGTCTGGGGCCAAGGAGCGTTATTACAAAACGGCACCGGGTCGCTCTTGGTGCGGCGTATGACCTGGCTGTGGCGGGTGAAAGGGACCAGACCTTCCCAGCAAGGCTGGGCAAAGGTGGTGATTTGAGGTTGTTGGGTGTACGCAGGTATCTGCAGGTTTGCGGATGGACAGTTTCTATATGTTCAAGGCAAAACTTACTCATTGGTGTCTCATTTTTTTTCAAAGGACTTAACTTCAAGTCTGCAGCATAACTGTCTATGCCATTTCAGCTGCAATGTTCCGCTTGGATTGGAGAAACCAAGTGAATCTGCACTGTTCAATGATCGAGCATTGTTTTCTGGCTTCGGTTTGATGGTCAAAGGCAAAACCAAATGCACGAGTTTTGAACCGCTGAACATGCACTCGGGCGAAATAGACATGTCTAGTCTCCGGGCAGAAAATCCGAATCAGGCAAATGCGATGCCTAAATCTGCTAGATTTGGCCCAAATTCCCAGATGATCTAAATGAACGCGCTCAAAAGCCACCTTTTCTGAGTTGTAGCCCATCTAATGTTCCGAACTTTCAACCAAATCACCCACTCCTCTCTCCATCCCTCCACCAACAAAGGGACCCCCCAAAGCCACGTGGGTTTCTTCGCTCCAGGTTCGCCTCTCCGGAGCAGGCGTCAAAGATCTCGCAGTATTCCGCCAGGCACACGCCGTTCGCAGGGGTCTGGCCGGATCGTACCCGCCGCGCGAAACCACGCGGATTTCCCGCGCGGATCCGGTGAAATCAGGATGTTCCCGACCAAAAAACCGGTCCGAGTCCGTAGTATGCAATACGATATACAGTAGGTATGCAATATACGATGGATTGAGAATGTGTATGATATGTAAGCCAGCTATTGGTAAGCGAACGGACATGTAAGTTTATTGCAGGACTGGGACTGGGGTAATTTTGTTCTTTGCAACTCCAATGGCAACCTCTCCTACCCCTAGCTGACTCTATAGGGACTGCTTCCTCCAGTGGATTGTGGGGACAATGTCCTCAGAGGATTGGTGGAAGGAACACATCCGAAACCCATGGATTTCTCAAAACTGTCACAAGTCCAGTCTGACTGAGTAAAACCTGGTCTATTGTGATGTCTTGTGCCTCCTTGAGTAGTGAAGTTGCTTGCATGATCCGTGTAACATCGTGTAACATGAGGTCCGTTCCTGACCTTTAGGGTATGAATTTCCTGTAGATGTTCCCTTCCACGTACTCCTGGAAGGTTTCTTCGATTTATGTTTCCTTCCACGTACTCCGGGGGATCTGCCGATCCGCGACGCGGACTCTCTGCCGCCTTTTCAAACTTCGATACGTGACACATTAGCAGAATCGCGGACCCCTCCACGGACTCTCTGCCGACAGCAGGGGTGAGGAGCACCTGACTTCATGGACGTGACGTTGTGTGATGAAACGAGCGAAATGAGAAATTACATGAAGAAAACAAGACGAAAACACGAGACAATCCGATCAGTCTACCAACACGGAGTGATTTCAATCCATGTGAGTCATGAACTCTCCCTGGAACTAACTTGGAAGTGGATGGCATGCCCTGCTTGGTCTTTGGAAAATGGTGGCCATGCTATCCACGCCCAACCAGTTCTAGGGAGTGGCAAAATACACTACACATGCCGACTGTTCATGTGGGACCCCTCCTGCGAAGATCTTTGACGTCTCGGCGAGACATCTCTGCTTAAACAATATGGCACAGCTTAACCATCACGCCGGGCGAGAGGCTAGGAGGAACGGCGTCCGGCGGCGTTCCTATCTCCAAGATCGTCCGTCAAGGATTGTGGACATGATTCTATAAGTACTCTACCCCAAACACAACCTGTCTGGGACTGGAATGATGTGCTTACATTGACCCCTTTTCAATCAACCACTGTTCACAACCACCCCAGTAAGAAAACATGCCATCCCCTCAGTGTTTGGGACAAATGTCAGCCCAGTGGATGATGGTTCGGAAAGGCGACCCATAGGACTGCCATAGGACTGCCGATCAATTGACCCCCCTGGCACCACCCCTGGCCTGATCGGCATATATGCCAGTCCCATGGAGTGTCTGGGATAGTTAACATCTATAAACCATCGAACACATTCTAAAGCCGACACTGAAGAGCTGGGATTCCCAGCTCTTATTGACCGGGTAGAGCGAAAAAGCCACGCCCAGTCATTCCTCCTATGTCGTCCCAGACGTGAAAAACGCTGCCATCTCCCTGTCAAGGTTGAAGAGACGAAAGTCAAGCAACGAACTCATGCCGCAACATGATCATGTAGAGGCTCATAAAGTAGGAATAGACCGGTACCAATTGTTTACGGTATTGTACAGTATTTACTGATCAAGATACAGCATGCATGTTTCTTCCGTGAAACCGGTCATTCTTCTTTGATCTTCGGTTCTTCGACCTACATGGAAGCTATGCGTGCCCTAGGCGTACACTTCTGGCTCAGGCATACGGCCGGGCCCCTTACAACGCTTTCGGTGGAAGTTCTCCGGTGGAGCAGCGCAGCGGCAAGATCGAGATCGGAGCGATCCAACTTGCCAGTTTGAACAACCGAAGAAGACACACACACACCACTCACTAACATGTCCACCTAGATTCACACCATTTCACCAACTGGACTTGAAAAAACAAATACAACAAAATAACTTTAAACAAACTTGTCTGTCCACAATCCACCTCTGGAGCACCGCAACAAAGACATCGGTGGTCTGTGGTCGTGAAAAACACACCTTCACAAGGACACCCGTCTCCACCCTGTTCCACCCCGTCCCCATCGCCGCTCAGAAGTTGGTGTGGTCCTGAAAAAGCAGCAGGAATGGAGGGTCAAAAGCAAGGGTAACAAAACGGTTCTTTTGGTAGTGAAACAGTTTTGTCATGTTTTGTCTTATGACTCCAACACTCTTTCTATCCATGGGCCTGACATATTTACTTACTATTGGGGTGGTTGATTTCAGGGGTCAATGAGGCGGCAAGCTGCAGTCCCAGACAGGTCGTGTCGATATGTTTGTCATGTCATGTCCTGCCGCTGGTTGTGTGCTGAACTTGGAAGTATCCAAATTAGTTTGGCTCTTTGGAGATCGTCACGACAGCTTGGGGTTTGCCTTCGACCTACACAAGGCCTTGTAAGATGTGTTTAGACTCGCTTATAGGATGATCTAACCCCTGGATCCGATCCGCGATGGCGCAGCCATGCCGCGTAACACTTGAACACATGCACAACATCGGGAAAGCCATGGCAAATCGGACTCCCCCCCCAAAAAGGTGTAAATTAGAAAAACATGTAAATTAACATATGTAAACATGACATCTTTGCACATATCTTCTAAAAACCTCGGTCCAATGGCCAACACACCGCCAAAGCAAGCGAAAAAAACACGCCACCCGGAACCACAACCCCAAACCTCGCCCAAACACTGACCTCTCTCGCAGACCGAACGCCGCCCCAAAACCGCGGAGCGACTCTGCCTGTGCCGTGGGCTCGTCGTCCGAGGCGTACTCGTCCTCGTCCGGATCGACGCCCATGACGCCGAAGGTGTCCTCGATGCGCCAAGCCAAGCGCTGCGCCAGGGCAGTGACGGATCACGGGGGAGGTGTAAGCGGTCTGTCTTGGGAGGTCCGGGTGTGGGGTAAGTCATTGACATTGTGAGGAGGATGGAGGATGGAGGAGGGGCGGTACACAATGTATGCACAAGTAGCACATAATACAATGATATGCCATGATATATGCCATGGAGTCCATGGAGTGTCTTCAAAGTCTTCAAAGTGATCTCTTTGGAGTCTCCAAGTGACCTTTTGCAGGCCTGTTGTCGTGACATAAGGATCTGGGAACTCCATTCTGGTCACAAAATGAAGGTCCTGGTGTGTAGAGGTCCTGGAGTGTCTTGGAAAAAAAACACATGGATCATTGAACAGCAAACCTTGGAGTGTCCTGGAGTGTCTTGGAACATTGAACAGCAACCACTGAATATTGACAAGCGCATACAAGCGTCTGACAGTCTCGACTCGGCGTTGCGTCGTCTGACAGTCTCGACTCGTCCAGTACACGTTCCGGTCTATCCATGTCATCCAGGGTCCAGTGGATGGGGCCTGGTTGCAGGCCTTTCTCTGAAATAGTGATGTTCTTGTTGACTGACTGTTGCAGGTGTTCTAGGACAAACCCAAATTGTACCAAAACCCATGATGACTCTGCACCAAGCCTGACCCGTTGTTTTCCTGGACCTACGATTTCGTACAGGTTCCTTTTACGAACGTCTACCCTGGCGGTGTTCGATGTTCCTCATGGTGTTCCAAAAGGAACATCTTCGCACGACCACCCTGTTTCAGGCCCAAAGGCGAAGGACGCGGGCGCCCTCAGCCCTTAGCTTTCATGTTCCGAGCATCGTATCTATGATCTCCCTTCCTCAGTGCTGGTTGTTCTTCTGCTGAGCTGCTGAGGATTGGAACACAAGAATCCGGGCTGGGCATTGCTCAGGGTTGGTAAGTGTCCTGGTAGTGAACCTCTCGATGGGTCTTCCAGGCGTTTGATGTGGTTCAGCAGTGTGGAAGCGCAAAGACCCCCAACAAAACACCTGTATTGAGTCACGCTCTGTTTTCCGTTGCGTCCGACGTCCGTCCGTGGCACGTACGTTCCGCAGGTCACGTACTCACGGCGTTGCTCTGGCATTTTAAGTGGCCATGGTCACACTTCAGTCGCGACGTTCACGTCTTCCCGGAATAAGCGAAGATGAACGTCTGGACCAAGGGGGAAACCCGAAAAAAGCCGGGCTTACCATACAAGTTTAACCCATGGAGGAGGTCTTGACCTCCTATGTCCCATACATTGAAAGTTTTTTGGATGGCAACTCTACAGAAAGTAATGAGATATTGATATAATGGTGGCATGGTATAACTTCATTGGTCTTCAAAGCTCTGTGCAAATGGTCTTGCAATATCAATCTAGCAATTGCTTTGAATTTATCTCAAAAAGCTCTTGGAAGCACGACGTGCCGGACGTGCCGGGCATACAAAGGCAAAGCGCAGAAAGTCGGTCAAAAGGAACACAAACAGCACAAAACAACCTGACCTTGCAATCTCCCAGAATGCGGCGATAGCACTTTTCCGGTTGCTTCTTCGCACCACATCCATCTGTGGACGTGCTTCTCTTCGTCCCACCTCTCCCCTCTTGTTGAGCAAAAAAAAGGAGCCGAACTCGCGGAACGTGCCGAACGAACGTCGACGAACGAACGTGTCGTGTCGTGTCAGGCAGCTCTTTCTCTCCGTAGACGCTGTTGCCGTTCACGTCCACCTCTTCTTTGATGTTGTACACCCACATGGCGATCCTCGGGGCTGGGCGGGAAGCTCGTTCGAAGGCTTCCCGGGAGCCGTTGGAAAGGCCTCCCCCAGCGCGTCTCCGATCCGCGGCGTGGGAGGGTGAGGATGTGGCGTGTGGTGGTCGGCAGTTGCATCAAGATCGACTGAGAAAAGGGATGAAAAGGCCGCAGTTGGGAGTAGACACCCTAACATCCCTAGCTTTCTCGCAGTTGGGAGTAGACACCCTAACATCCCTAGCTTTCTTGAAAAGAATTGGGTCATTAGGTGGTCAGTTTCCACCCGTGGTCGACCCATCTAGTCACACACATCAGCACCAAGCTGTCATTCCACATTGCCCCGGTCCCATGGGTAACCCATTGTATCCCATAGCTTCAATTGGATAACATTGATAAACATGGATAAACGTAGTTTGGACATACTATAGGACTATAGGATAACAACAGGAGTTGTATCCCACAAAAGCTGTCATGTCTCTTCTTGGATGATATACCTGGAGCCTCAAAGTATTTCTAAAAACGAGTATGCAGTATGCAAGTCAAGTCCCTATTGTTTATAGGGTCGCTCCCATTTTCCAAGTTACGTACTTGAAGATTCAGGTATAGTCATGTATAGTCCAGGTATAGTCCATGCAACCGTCGTAGAAATCGGGGTCGTCCGAGGGGCGAGGACAAAACCAAGGCCATCCATTGCTCGAAGGTGAGCTTCTGGCAGGTCGGACGGTCTGCCGTCTCGGGGTTGCAGAGACCCCCGCGCAGTGGATGTCCGGGCAGCAGGTGGATCTAGGACTTGGATCTATCCATGTCATCCAGGGCCCAGTGGAAGATGATGGGGCCTGAGTGCCGGCCTTTCCATCCCAAAAATCATAGTGCACTATGTTCATGTTTACTGGCTGTTACAGGTTTTCTAGGACAGATCGGATATATATTCTTCAAAACACCATTCCCAGCAGAAAAAAAAACGACTACATCGAAAACAGAGAAGCAAACATAGAAAGACCGACCGTTTGACAAACAAAACACTGCCTGCAAACACAATAGTATAAGAATACTCTAGCACCCATGGGAAGAGCGAACTGGTGTGGATAACCAAGCCGTTGGAATGCCAGGTGGAGGGTGGATGGTCGCAGATCTTGAAAACGCTAAAGTGTATTGAACATTCAGCCACCTTGGGAACTAAACGCTTAAACTTAGAAGTTGCGGACACATTGATGAGATCTTGTTCCATCAAAAAGCTGAACGGGAGGGGCTGCATCTAGAACAAATTATTGTGTGTGTTTTCTTTTCCTTTAAAATAACATGAATTCAAATGACACAACTACAGTAGCTCCTGTGGGACCTTCAGTCTTGGAGATCGGGACAGACTGGTATACAGCTCTCCACATCTCGTCCCTTGCAGTGTCCCATCGCCTGCTCCCACGGAAACCACCCCGTCCCCACGGGTCCGTCCGGACGGGTCCGTCTCCCGGGTCGGGCAGATCCCCGCCGCGGCGGATTTGCCCGCAAAGAGTTCGAACTGGCTGAAGATCCCGCAGAGGTTTCCGCAAAGAATGGAGCCTAGGATGGATAGAAAACACTGGAGGCCGTTTCACTCCGAGTGAAGTGGGGAACCAAAAGACTCGATCCTGTCCAAGCAGCTCTACAGATTCAAAATTATGTGCTTTTCGCACGTGAGAAACCATTCTTTGGTTTACTCATTCTGGGCTCAATGGATTCAACTGATAGTTCCGAGGGACTTTCCGAGGGCATTTGGAGCTCTGTCGAGCTGCAACTGCTCATGTGCGACCCAACAAACTGGCAGGGCGCCCCTGGGGTTGGAGGTCTTTGGAAGAATGCTCTTCCTCTACCGGTAAATATTCCCGACACCCTGTACATTACCTATATTACTGTTAATCCCCAAAACCACCTCATATGTCTTGCATACATGAAGTGTGTGTATATATATATATAGGTGGGGGCTGATCTTTACTAATTTTAGTTTATGTTTCAAGAGTCGCAACGGTGAGTTGCACCACCGTGTGACTCAATGGCCCTTGCTGGCTTAACCTTTCCCAACACGTGAGGAACACCCTTGCCCTGCCCCGTTTGAGTGAGTTACCAAAGAACGTGGGGAACACAGTTCGGTCGGTCAAAAGAACCGACCTCGTCGACCGAACTCAGCACGTCCGACCGCTGCGTTCCGACCTCGACCGTGACCTGGACGACGTCGACCAGGGCTTAACCGCTGGGGACCCAACCAGGGCTTTGGAAAGGTGTTTCGTGTTGGTTTGTTGGTTTCCGGATCTTAAAAACTAAGAGCTTGCCCTGCAACGATGTTTTCGAGGATTAAATCTAGATGAATCTTCAGAACCCTAACCCACAACAGTCCCTTCTCAAAAACAAACACATCCAAATGAAGACCCTCATGGATTCACCATCAGTGCCGCTTGCCGCTCCGCGCGAGCTCGCGCGCCGCCTAAAGCACGAGCTCCCAGGAGCCGATGGAGGCCCAGGTTCCACTGAGGCGTTTGATCAACCAAAGGAAGAAGAGGTTGAAAAAGACGTTGAAGAGCAGATACCTCGTTGAAGGGAGGACGTTTGAAGGGAATTTGGAGCAAAGGTCAAGAATCAAGTGCCTCGTTTTGAAAAGGTTTCCCTCTGAAACATGGCGAGACTGAAAATTATCAGAAACAAACAACGCAAGGTTCCCTACTATATTATATAATAAGTGATTACACATTGCATGGTTTCCAGAGCAAAAAACCCTTGGATTGTCCGATAGTTCTCTTGGCTTTCGTCTGGTAACGCAGGAAGCCATGGGAAACGCTTCCCGGCCACTCTGGACTACAGGTCCTTCACTCTTTTCCCATGCGCTGACCGGTCGAGTCCCGCGCAGAAAGACGAACGCAGCAGCGTCGAACGTCGAACTGCTGATGGGAGGTTCGGTTCATTGATCGAATGAGTAAACATGAATGCAAAGCAGTTCGCACAAACTCCGAGGGAGAAATGACCAACAACATGATGGGAGTCTTAGCCAAGACAATTAAGTTGTTCTTCTGCTGACATGTGACTTGATACTTATGTGAAAAACCCACACACGAGCACCTTGACCACCATCATCGGAAGGGTGGCAGTCGTGCGAATCTCAGGGACTCTTTCGGCACAAGCCGAGTGGATGGAGAAAAGACGCCCGCATGTTTGCTGATAGGAGTCAGCTGTCTCTGTTTTTACATTGGCAGCGGAGCCCCGGTTTTCCGTGGCTCCCGCAGGATAGGACTCCTGCGTGACACACGAGCGCCATGGCTGCAGCCTCATGAAGGCCAAGGAGGCCTACGATACTTCTCCGGTGAAGCCGAAGATGCGAAGGAGTACAGACGATGGAAAGTCTGGGTGCAAAACAAGCTCCTGACTTTGGAAGACAAAGTGCAACCAAAGGCTCGTGGGGCCTTTATCTATACTTTGTTGTCGGGCAAAGCGCTGGAGTCGGTGGAACACTTGGATCCCAGTACATACCAAAAAGAAGGAGGAGAGAAGATCTTGCTGGACAGACTGGACAAGCGTTTTCCTCAAAAAGATGCTAGCGATGAAATGAGTGAATCCCTCACCGACATTTTCAATCTTCGCGCTGCCGAAGGTGAGAGTCTGAAGACTTGGATTTCTCGTGCCACTGAACTGTTCGATAAGGTGGAACGCAAGGTCAACGTGGCCTTCCCGGAAGAGGCCAGAGGATGGTTGATCCTACATCGTTCTGGGTTGTCGAATGAGCAGAAAGCAGTGGTCTTAGCGAGATCTCTGGGCGTGCTGAAGCGTGACGAAGTTGGTCGAGCAATGCGTTCATGCTACCCGGAGTTTGTCATACAGAGGAAAAGGCATGTTGCCGCTGGCATTGTTGAAGGGGACTTCGGTCACACTGCACCCGAAGAGCCTGATGAAGACGATACCGACTTGGCCAAGGAGGTCGAATCCTTCTTAGCAGAACACGACTTGTCGGCAGGAGATTCTTTGGAAGACAGTGAACTGTTCACCGAACAAGAAGTTGCTGAGGCCCTCGCTGTCTCTTGGAAGGAAAGGAGGAAAGAGTTGGGGAAGCTCCAACGATCGAGGAAGTTTTCAGCGGCCTCAGACCTCAAGAGAAGCTACAGAGTCGAGATTGCCGAGCTCAAACGAAAGACAAAGTGTCATCGCTGTGGTGCAGTCGGACATTGGTCGAGGGAGTGCACTATGCCTAGGACTTCGACATCTTCGTCTGTCAAGCCAGCGTCGTCCAGCGGCTACAAGAAAGAATCTGGTGCTGCTCTGGTGACAGAACATGTGTACGGGAAGTCCGATCCGGACGGCCCCCTGGAAGGTGACGAGTTCGTGGCTATGGCTGCTATTTGTCCAGAGCAGTACTCTGTATTGTCCATCCTCCGACACCGTCGGGACATGATGGAGCTCTCTCATGTGAACTCGGGTCCATCACCCGAAGTGTTGTTGGTGAGCTCTCCTGGCTTTGGTGTGCTGGACTCCGGTTGTGGTCGATCCATCATTGGCCGTGAAACTTTGAGTGAATTCCGCAAACTCTGGAAGTCAGCAGGCATCCAGGCTGCAGAGATCAATCACTTCAGGTTTGGCAATGGAGAACGGGAGACGACCACGGCAGTGATCCGTCTTCCAGTGCTGCTGGGTGGGAAGAAGGGAACCATCCGCACTGCCATTGTGAAGGGCCAGGCTCCATTTTTGATCTCCCGCAATGCCATGCAAACCCTCAAGGCAGTCATTGATTTCGGCACACAAACTCTGACCCTTTTTGAAGATCGCACAGTGGTGCCCCTGGTCACAAACGAGGCCGGACAGTTCGCCGTCAATGTGATTGGCAAATCTGACAAGGCTGACTTCGAAGAAGAGGTCATGTGCAGCCAAGATGCCGCCAAGGCATCACCCGTGTCTGATCACTTGCAAGATCACTCAGGACTGACGCCTCCGACCGTTCCTGAAGACTTTGGTACGTCCGATCGACTTCAATTTTGGTCTCGTAGTGATTCCTTTTTGGATAAAATCCCAGGCCTAGGCAAGCAAGGACCTCTGTGGAGTTCGGTCGTTCGACGTCGTGTCATCAATAGGGACAATGAAGAGGTTGTTTTTGATGAGTCCATTGTGCCTCAAAAAGGAAAAGCATGGTATTGTCATACCATTCCACCGGGTATCATGCACACTCGTACGGAGTTTTACTTCCGACCGCAGGAGATCACTTCCAAGCTTGAACACCTCCCTGTGCACTATGTGAGACAATTGCGGTCACAGGTGAACAAGTTGAGACAGGTTGACCATAGTACACCCCAGAAGCTGAGTGAGAAGTCACCGTTGTCTGTTGCTGAGGTTTTTTGCCCTCCTCGCTTTGCACCATTAGTTCAGGGTGTGGGTGGAATCTGCAAATCATATGACCTGTTGACAGGCTACGATCTGTCCAAAGCTGAAGTTCGGGCGTTGGTTTCCAGGGAACTCCGCAACAGTCCACCAGATTTGTTGGTTCTTTCACCCCCCTGCACAGACGAGGGTGGATGGTTCAACCTCAATGCTCTCAACATGACGACAGAAGAAGTGGCCCGTCGTGTCAGACAGAGCCGCATTTTCGTTCGGTTCTGCTGCGACCTGTTTAGACAACAAGTGGAGGCCGGAGGACAAGCGCTGTTTGAACATCCTCGGGGATCGCGCATTTGGCACTATCCTGAGATGAAGAAACTGCTGGAACAATTTTTTCCGTTGGAATGTGATTTTTGTCGATTCGGTCTCCGACTTCCAGGATCTGAAACCTTGATCCAGAAACCCACACGTCTTTTGACCAGTCATGAGAACATGGCTAGCTTGGAGAGACGATGCCCGGGTGCTCACCACCCTAAACATGCTTGTCACCAGCAAGTAGCCGGGTCTCATCCATCTGTGGGTTCAATCAGTAGCTTTACGGGAAAATACACACCAGCTTTTGTTCAAGCAGTCATGAATTCAGTCCCCAAATATGCACAGTTGTCCAAGTGTGAGATGCCGGAGTGTGTGCCTTGGTCTTTTCACCATGAGCATCAGGTCATGTTGGTGAAAGATGATTTGGACCAAGGAAATGAGGAAACGGTCAAGAAGGCCTTGGTCCGTCTACATAAGAATCTCGGGCATCCGTCGTCCAGCGACCTAGTGCGTTTGTTAAAACATGCGCAGGCCTCAGACCAGGCCGTTGCGCTGGCCAGGACACTGAGTTGCGAGTTTTGCCAAGCTCAGGGTAAACCACACACCCCCCTGCCTGCGCAGATCGACCGTCCTCAAGAATTCAATCAGGTCGTAGGAATAGATGTGAAGAATCTCACCGGATGGCGTCCTAATCAAACCATCAAAGCACTGAACATGGTTGATCACGCTAGCAATTATCAGTTGATGCTTCCCTTTCATGAGCAAGAAACTTCGATAGTCTTGCAAAAGCTGTTTTCCCAATGGGTGAAAGTGTTTGGACCTCCTAAGGTGGTGATGCTAGACCCAGCTCGTACAAACTTGGGAGAACCCATGCAACAATACTTGGACCAGTTGGGTATTCAGTGCAAGCCGATCGCCGCAGAAGCACACTGGCAGTTGGGGCGCACAGAGCGGCACGGAGGATGGTTTGGCAACGCGTTAACCAAGCTGGTACAAGAATACACTCCCGAGAACAAGGACGACTGGGATTTGTTGGTAACGCAAGCTCATGTCAAGAACACAATGATTCAGAATCATGGCTTCACTCCTCACCAGTTTGTTTTCGGACGAAATCCCTCGGTTCCAACAGAACTTCTGGATGAACCTCTACGAGTTGTGCCAGCAACACTGGGCTTGACAGATGCCGCCATCCAAAAGGCCCAGGAAATTCGTGCAACGGCTCGCAAGGCGATCATTGATCTACAATGTGATCAATCCCTGCGTCGAGCTCTAGCGGCAAGACCCCGGGTGACGCCGGACTTCCAAGCTGGAGACCTTGTGGCATACTGGCGAGAACAAAAATACCAAGGAGGTTCCAAGTCCCAAAAAGGGCACGTTCTTCAAGGGGGACATTGGTTTGGTACAGCGGTGGTTATGGGCAAAATTGGACGCAACTATGTTGTAGCTCATCGCAAGCAAATTTTTAGGGTGGCTCCAGAACAACTTCGTGCAGCAACGTCAGAAGAAAGAACCTTGTTGGAGTCTCCTCAAGCCGAATTGTTGGGGATCAAGGATTTGTTGGAAGGTGGAACTTTCCGCAGTCACCAGTATGTAGATCTGGTTCCTGGACACTACCCCACTTCGCAGTCAGAACCACCTATACCTCCAGGGAAAGTCCAAGAACACGTCACTGCATCTGATCTCAACTCGGGCACGCCAGAAACAGCTGATGTGCCTATGGAAGTGGTGCCACCGGATCAAGAACCAGAACTTCAGCAAGAAAGCAACAGCAATCAGCATGAGACCGAGGAAGAATTTCCTTCTCTGTCGATCGGTGGATCCAGTTCCAGCAATCCAGCAAGAGACGAGTCCTCATATGGACCTGTTCGCCGACGAATCCCCCAGAAAGCCGGCGAAGCAGCTCTTTTTCGACCAGCAGCAATGCGCGAGCAAGATTTTACTGATCTGATGCGAGAAATGGTTCCTCGCATTTTGGTGGAGTCATTGAACCCAAGTGATTCTCAACTGATATCGGAAACTTCAGGACTGAAGAGATCTTCTGAAGAACTGGAAAACACAGCTGAGGAACCACCCACAACTCGCGTTCGGATGGCAGAAAGTGTCCACGATGAGGAACAATTGCTCGTGGAGGAATGCTCTGAAGTTTGGGACTCTTGGCATCCAGACCGCCCGATCGAGGTCCTGATGGCCGCATATCTGCAAAAGAAGCTTAGCAAGGAAATTCCACACACCAACGAGGATCCCAAGCTGCAACGGTTAGTTGATGAATCCAAAGTTCAGGAATGGAACACCATTACCGAGAAATCTGCTGTTCGAATCCATTATGGAAAGAAGGCTGCAAAATTAAAAGCCCTGTATCCTCATAGGTTCATCGGCAGTCGGTTCGTCATCATCCGTAAACCAGCCGAAGAAAATCAAAAGATTGTGCCGGAGGATTCAAACACATTTCGCATCAAGAGCCGGTGGTGTCTTCAGGGGCATTTGGACCCGGATCTCGAACAAAAGGCCCAAGAAGGTTTGCTTAAGTCACCTACTCTCAATCAAATCTCCCGTATGATTCTCATGCAACTGATTTGTTCCTTTGGATGGGACCTTCAGTTAGGAGACATAAAAGGAGCGTTCATGGAGGCAGGGCCACTGGATGACAAGTTCCGTCCGCTTTTCGCCTCTCACCCTCCTGGAGGCATCCCAGGAGTGCCGAGCGACGCTGTGATTGAGGTGATCGGAAATGTCTACGGACAGAATGACGCGCCGGCTAGCTGGTTCAAGACTTTTCATCAAGAGGCCGTGACGGCCGGGTGGTGTCGTTCGGTTTTTGATTCGTGCCTGTACTTTCTCAGAGACCCAAACACCAACCAGCTCATCGGTATTATGGGAGTTCACGTGGACGATACCGCAGTAGGAGGATCCGGACCAGTTTTTGAGAAAGCCATTGCATCCCTTAAAGCTCGCTTCCCGTATCGGAAGTGGCGGGTAGGTGAGGGAGAGTTTTGTGGCAGTTACTATAAACAGGACAAAAGCACCAAAGAGATCCACATGTCTCAAAGACTTTTCGCAGAATCCATGCGGCCCGCCAACATCCCAAAGGGTAGTGCAAACGAAACCAAACTCCATGAGGGCCAAATCAAAGTACTTCGAGCTATCAATGGAAGTCTCAACTGGATTGCCTCTCAAAGTAGGCCTGATCTGGCTGTGCAAACCAGTATGTGTCAACAATCCTTTCCTCATCCCACCGTGCGAACACTCAGGGATGCAAATAACGCAATTCGCAGAGCAAAGATGAACAAGGACTTGGAGATCACCTTCATGAGTATTGCTCCCGAGAAGCCAAGGATCTGTTGTCACAGTGACGCAGCCTTCGCCAACCTAGGTACACACACTCAAGCAGGGTTCATTTTGGCTTTCACTAGCATGGACTTAGATAAAGGGTTAGTGGCTCCTTGGACACCTTGTTTGTGGCGCAGTTACAAACTGCCTCGAGCAGTGAGCTCGACACTCGGGGCTGAGAGCCAATCCATGGCATGCGCCTCCGGATCTGTGGAGTGGGTCAATCTTCTCTTGTGCGAGGCTTTGGACGGCCCTTTCAATCCAAGAGAGAGTAGGTCTAGGCTTTCTAGAAGACCTCCTGTTCTGGCCACCGACTGTAAATCTCTGTTTGATCATCTCACATCTCCCTCGGCCCCCACAGCAGTGGAGGATCGTAGGACGAGTATTGACATAGTGATCATCAGAGAGTCATTGGCTATTACTCAGGGAATCGTTCGATGGCTTCCAACCGATCGCATGCTAGCAGATGGTCTCACTAAGGACAAGCAGGACCCGATCGACTTACTTAGGTCATGCATTAGGACAGCGTCCTACCAGATCTCGCCAGAGAATTTTGTTTTGGCCCAGCAAGCAGCTGAACGAAACAGGCGTCAGAAAAACCGCCAGCTTGAGAAGACACCTCCTTCCGAGAGTTCCCTTCAGGGAACGAGTCAATGAGGATTGAGTAGGATCAAACGGGGAGTCAGGAATGAGGACTCGTGAGGGTGAGTCGAACATTCGTGCTTAGGTTTGATGTCAGTCTTCATTGCAGCCAGTGCATGTTTTTGAGGAATTTGAAATGAATGCCTTTATCCAAGACATAACTTTTGTGTAGACTCCGCTTTGGTGAGAGAATGTTTTTCATTTGATCAATGTACATTTTGCTCAAGCATTTTTGCCTCGTGAGTCTTGTTGACCTCGAATCTTTTTTTGGGAGAGCAGAGCCTTTTCTTGTCATGTCTCTCACACCGGAGGAACAACGCCAGCTTGTGTCCTTGCTCCAGAAGGCTCAACCAGATGAGAAGATCAGTGAAGCTGTGCTCCAAGCGGCAGCTCACGGTATGCCTCCTCAGAGTCCTTGCCGTTCAGACGGCGAGTTCTCGTTGGTCACAAGCTCAGGTGCCATGACCGACGCATGCAAGCGCCGGGACCCAGTGTCAGAACAGTTCAAGAACACCAAACGTAGTGCGGTATCAGTGCCCATGCCTTCATCAGCAGCCCCCGATGGCTATTCAATTCAGTATGAGAGCGACATTCCTGGATATGAGGGTGGACCATGGACGGCTCCTGATGTGAAGCCAACCTATCTTCCCAGCCAGGAGGAAGATGCTGTTTCCTTCCCAGAGGGCATTTCCAGTTTGGCTCAGTGGGGCCAAGCGTTGCTGAGTTTCGGACAATTCAACAATCAGGGCCTTTCATACCTCGATGTGGTGAGCAGCTCAGATCAGAAGAAGACCAACTACGTCCGTTGGTGCAAAGCTCGGTCCAAGACCGCCGGTGGACATTTGAAAGATTTTTGCGATTTCATTGTTTTGTATGAGCAGCAAACTGGCCTGAAGCAGGGCCCTCTCATTCCAGGGACGAGCCAAGTTCGCCAGTATAAAGCATAGAAGAGATTAGTACCAGTGTGAAAAACCCACACACGAGCACCTTGACCACCATCATCGGAAGGGTGGCAGTCGTGCGAATCTCAGGGACTCTTTCGGCACAAGCCGAGTGGATGGAGAAAAGACGCCCGCATGTTTGCTGATAGGAGTCAGCTGTCTCTGTTTTTACACTTATATACTAAAACAATCTAACACATACACAAACACAAATGCTGGCTTCAGCATGCCGAGGTCAACATGTTGGTTCAACCAGCTCCAGTTCCAGAGAATGGATGAACAAACATAAACAGGAACAAAAACCACAACTCGTCTTGTTTCTCCCAACAAAAACAGATTTGGGGGTTTCAAACTTCAGTGGACACTTGGAAAAAACAAACTCTGACGTCCTTCCGGCTTGGTGGCATCATCAACCACATCCACGCGGGCTCGGCGTCGCAGGTGGTCACCGAGGGCTTGGGATTCCGTCCCATGAAGCCTCACGCGGTGGGCGGCGGCGTTTCGGGGGAGGGGGAAGTCGGTACGTAGGGCTCACTGCCCGGTGGGCGAAAGCAGGTCTGGAAGAGTCTGGAAGAGACTTCGCAGCTCTTGAGCAAATCGAATCCTTCAACTTGCTCCTTAAATGGCTTGTGCTGAAATGCATAAACCGTGGGTGGGGTGGCTCGGAATGTCAGGGTTGGGGACGAACATCAATGCATCAATGCCGTGCTGGGAGAAGTTCTCAGCACCCCCGGGCAAGTTTGAGGAAACATGCATCGTCGAAGACTGTTGAAGGTGCAGGAATCTAGCATCTATTGTGTATAATATATTTAACATCACCACAATGAGGATGAACTATCTAGCACAACCTTCCAGCAAGCATCTATTGTCTATCAACAATCGACAGAACCTTAGGCAGCACCTTTTGGGAGATGCGGAACCATTCCTCGGGCCATTCCTGTCCCGACTGGGCATCCGCACAGGTCCAGGAATCCCTCAAGTCCTGCCACGGCTTCCGGTCGAACCGCAACGAAGAAACGTCGGCCATAGGACTGACCACAGGACTGGACTAAGACCTAAGGCCGGTTGGGGGGGTTTAACAACACACGGATGTATAGCGCACCTGCTTCAACAAAAGCTGTAGCTCTTGCGCCAGTAATCACTAGCAAGCAACCACATAAAACATGATAAAACAAGGACCATCAAGCACCCACGCATTCAAATGTTCCTGTGGGGTACCAAAAATACAACAAGTTCCTGGACACTCGCCCAATTCCACGCCGTCTGTGTTTTTCTGCTTCGACCGGAAATCTTGGATTGTCAGTCTTGAGGCTAGGGACATCCGCTGCAAAAGAAGAAGTCCCAAGGGTGGACCAGTGGACCTGGTTGCTTGATGGTCCCCTAGGACTGCGCTGCATTGTGTTCAAGAATCGTTTCCGAACCCTTCGGATATCCCTGTTCTTTTGGGCATATCTTTGTCCAAGATCGAGTCGACTTGAATCCAAACACACACAAACACACACCTTTTTCGATTGCCCGGATGGCGCCGCCTGGGCAAAAACGACTGCAAGCTGGCCTCTTAGATACTTGGATGAAGATACTCTTTGAGACCAACTGTAGGCTAACTCTTTGGGTGTCGAAGTTCATCCCGCTTCATCCGAACATCTTCGAGTGAAAACACGGCAAACATCGATCCCATTGCATCCACCGAACACGCTCGTAGCGTTCCAAGCTCCCAAAGGCACCGAGAACGCTCGTAGCGGGGATCGCCGCCGCCGCTCCCCCAGCAGCTTCGACCGGTGGCCTGACCCAAGGTGGAAGGCCCTGCGCTGTTATATCCCGTCGGAGTGGGCCAAGGCACCTGGGGGGGGTACGTCCCGGAGTGGGCCGCGCGTTCGGCAGTGGGGTGGGCGGTTTTTGCTCAGAGCCAATAGGAACTTCAAAACTTAAGTGATTGAGGTAATCGCGTGAAAACATGTTCGTGGCATTCGGGGGGGTGGATGGCATCCTTCAATGTTGGCATGTGGAGAGAAGGTTTCATCTTTGGGGGGGTGTCTATCAAGATACCGGTTAACATGGCGGATGGGGAGGGGAGAGCGGTCTAGACATGGAAGATCAGCAAATGACACATCCAGAATCAGATTACAAGGCACAGCTCTGCTCGAATCTTGACCAAAGATCATGCAAGTCAGGCAGTTGTGCTGTGGGTGTGGGTTTTGGAAGTCATGCCAGGCCGGCAAGGATTGCACATTTTCTTCTTGCGGTTGCTCACTTTTGCCAAACACATGACACAAAAAAGTGTCAAAGAATCCAAGGAGCAAGACACAGCAAACATATATGATGCAAAAAGAAAGTTGTTGTTTTAAAATAACTTTTCTTTGGGTGACAAATTCTCTTTGTCTCTGTGGCTCTCTCTTGTCTCTATATGTGGCTTTCGTTCAGTAGAAGAACGTAGTGAATTTTGTGCTTGGCCAGGTGCAGGCATGCCTCTTCAATGGCATGACTCACATGAATGGCATGTTTGATCATTTTTGGATACGTTCAAAGTCACCATCGCACCTCTTGTTCCCATTGCACCATGCGAGTACCCTGCCCATGTACTCTTTTCGGCAATTGGTCGACTTCAAGAAGAGGAGCATTGGCAGCCAAACACCAAACACCTGTCCTTGCAGTCACTGATGCTCAGCTGCCTCTCCTGCACGCTGGTAAAAAGAGGACACGCAGTTTCCAGCGTGGCACAAATGATGATGCATAGGACCTGCCAGAAGAGGTCGGATCTTGATTCAAAACCTGATCATCAGCCCCCAAGCTCCTGGCGTTACCAACTTCATCCTCTGTAGCGGCTCATCATTCCCATGCTTCAGGACAAACAACTACATGTATGGAAGCTGGACCACAGGCAGGATTCGACTTTAGCAAACACGCCTTCAGTTTGTTGTAGTCAAGGCAGGCTGGACTTCGACTCTGGATTGACCGCGGATGGTGGGCATGATTCTGCAAAACAGTTGTAGCTCATGTTCACCCTTTGACAGCTCGCTGGTGTTGAGGGTGCAGCAAGTGTCCACGGCGAGGGCAGCTCTCCATGACCTCGTGGACCATCACCAGCCATGTGATGTCTTTCTTCCCATGGCAATTTGATGGTCCTTGTGTTCTATCTGCTGCACTGACAGATGCCCGTCCACAGGCAAGCTCTGAATGTTGCTGCTGCATCTTGCCTTAATAGACCTCAAACCACCTGTCGCATGTGAGCAGGATAGTCACAGAACCACAAATTGTTCAGGATTTGGGGTAGCATGGGGTTGCTTCTGGTGGATAGCGAGTCATTGAAGTCCACCGCTCTTTGGATAGCCTGGATACGCAAATCATTGCTTGGCATTTGGCGACGAACTGCCTGGATGTGACCTTGATCGGTGTATGTGCATCTACAATTGATATCCCACATCCGTTCCGATTTCCAACGACATCCAACCAACTCGGGAGTATATTGCAACATTCACATCCAGCGACGGCGACAGTGAGTAGCAATGAATGCTCGAAGCTCTGCTATACTGCAACAATAGAGAGCATATTGCTCGAAACATGCCCTGCTGTGGCGATCCGACTGTTATACTGCAGTTTGTAAAGGGGGGTCCCCCCTAGCTAAACGAATGGGTGGTCGTCTATATATTCACTAGTACCAAAACAAATCCGGATTCCTGGTAGATTTCTTTTGCAAAGGGATCTCAGAAAGCCAGCCATGGCTTTGGTAGTATTAGGATTCCTTGGGCAGATCTGTTTTTCCAGTGGAAAAACTTTTCACAATTGACAACCCCTTTAACAAATCTATTATTGATGATCAGGTGCCTTCCTGGTCTACTACCTTGACAATTTGTTTAGGAGCAATGTTCACATACAGGATTGCATTAGGAATTGGTGTATTTGGAAAGGTGTCAGTTTTGAAGAAAACCTAGAGAAACCTATATCAGCTAATGAATCATAATCATTGGCCTCAGGAGCTAAGTAAAGGAAGATTCCATGAGCAGATCTATTATTCCTCTGGAAAAACTTTTCACAATTGAGAACCCCTAAAACATATCTATTATTGATGATCAGGTGCCTTCCTGGTCTACTACCTTGAAAATTTGTTTAGGAGCAATGTTCACATAAAGGATTGCATTAGGAAGTGGTGGGTTTGGAAAGCTGTCAGTTTTGAAGAAAATCTAGAGAAACCTATCCCAGCTAATGAATCATAATCATTGGCCTCAGGAGCTGAGTAAAGGAAGATTCCATGAGCAGATCTATCTTTCCTCTGGAAAAAACGTTTCACAATTCACCACCCCTAAAACAAATCTATTATTGATGATCATTGCCTACATGCAGGTGCCTAGAGTGAGGCAGCTGCGTAGATCCATAACATCTGAGTCTAAGAATCCTACAACATAGGGTCGACCAATTGGCAAGCATCATTCCGCATCTCTCTTTATGAAGGCTCCCCTCTCCTCCCATATCTGGTCCAAGCCAGGATGGACCAGGACCATACGTAAATCTGCCGAGGCTGTGAGAATCTGCTGGACTCCAGCCATCTGCTGAAACAGACTTGCTGGTGTAGTTAACCCTAACACTTGAGATGCAAAACCCCTATCAAGTCATGTCTAGACTTACTAAGCACAGTCTAACTAACACCCGACAAAGAGGCTATTTCAGAGCAACTCAGTAACTGTACCTACCCTGGCATTAAAGACAAACAACAACGCACCAGGGAACAGCACCGCACCGACTAGGTCGACCCCCTCGACCCAGGTCCCGCACCGGTTCTTCTCCCCAACCTCCGTTGGCGCCCGGGCACCCAGGACAAGGGATACAACAAGAAGCCCCAAATCACCTCCGGTGCCATCCGGACCGCGCTGGTGGGATGCAGTAGGGCGGTAGGTGGGGGTCATGGGGATTTGTGCGGAATGCGTTTGGGTTTAGAGTTTGATCTTTGGGAAGGGGTATTTGGGGAGAGAAAGGATCAAAGGAGCATATAAGTTCATGAACAAACTTTGCTCATCTCCCGAAATAGGACTAAGCATGATCTTACAAAGGTCGGCACGAGTTGATCGGGCCATGCACCATTTGTCCTTCCTTAACGAGGATCCTTCACAACAAAGCCGAAAAGCCAATGCTCACTTACACAACGCACCACGAGGAGTGGTGTGTGTGTGTGTGTGTGCACCTGGACCTTCATAGTCGGGGACGCTAGGAGCATCCACGGTACGGTTGGAGCATGCCAGCCAGGCTCGGAGTTTGGAAGGGGTCGTTCAACTTGGAGCCTGGTTCATCATGGCTTGACCATCGTTGGTAGGTCAACCAATGGTATGCTCCAAGGTATCTTGGTGCATTGGTGCCATGACCCACAGCCATTGGGTGTGCAGAATAAGGAGACCCCCCAGTTTGACCTCTGGGAACATCCAAAACCATTTACTAAATCATACTAAATCCATTGCACACGGTAGTCCTCCAATTGAACCACGGTCTTGGCCAAAAAAAGCGAACGTCTCTGTGTTGAAAACCCCTTCGGGCGTCTCTGTCCGACGACCACGAACGCACCGTTGTGTTCGGACCTGTGGAGTGTTCGGACCTTGCTTCACTCGGTTCACTCGTTGGCACCAACAGTGCTTGGCGCTCAGCGCAACGGCCACCAGTCATGTCTGCGCACCTGCCACATACCTGACCAGAAAAAGGACCACATCACGTCCAAGTTCACCTGGCAGGTGACTCTGAAAAAGTGTTGGAACGTGTTTGGATGTATTCTGCTCACGCCTGGACGGTGTCACTCAGTATCTGGGGCAATAATATCTATCTTCTAACTTATTATAGTCCATGGTTCATATTGTTTGATACCTCCAAAATCCATTATAATAATTGTAAACCTTTGATTTTTTTTTCCGTCACGGGTCTATCTAAAGGATCATGGCAACACCTAAGGAAACATCATCAACACCTGCATCATCCAACGCCAATGTGACACGGAGGGTCATCCAGTCATTGTGGAGTAGGTCGAACATGAGGCAACCTGAACAGGCATGGTGTAAATGTCCATACTCTATATAGATCCGCTTCAGGATGATACCCCTCACAAGCCTTTATGAAGCTTAAGATGTATATCTTGTCCGGGTCTGGTGGGGTTTAGGGATAAGCAAAAAGTAAACATTTAAACAACACGCAAAACATGAAGGGAATGTGCATCCAATGTTTAAACAAATCATCATGGCTCACAGCAGGGCAAGCACATCAGGCCGGATGCTCGCAGGGTGGCAAGCTTCCTCTCAAACGACTGTTCATGAATAGATCGAACCTAGGGAGTTGTCAAAGGCTGTGGTTATGGAGATTCCAGTGATGTCTAGACTATAGGCGGCACAAGTTCGATGATTTCCACAACTTTTGGATGGGAGTCCACATGCTAACATCCACATCTTCACAAGCAGTTGAGTAGACTGCATCTCTGTCTTGGAGAAGTCCATTCTTTCACCCACCCATGCAAATCTTGGGTAGAAGGGAAAACATGAGACAACCAATCCATACAAGCTGGGCCGGCTCTACCCGCTCCGTGTTTTTTCCTTATTTCATCTCACGTTCGCACCTGTTTCAGCTTCTTCTGCTTGTAGCCTGGCAAAAAAGACTCCAGTCGTGCCGGAACCCAAGCATGGAGCGAGGGCCAATGAGGAATCCCAAACAAACCTGATGGCACTTCTGTCTGGTAGAGCGTCCGGATTCAGAACAAAAAGCGCTACTTATTTAATTGATATGCCTGGTATTTTGATACGAACCGCAGTCTGTGGGTGGAGAACTGGCAACCACGCTGAAGTAAGTGAGATCTTTGCCATCTGAAGAATCGTGCACAAACAAATCAAACAAATTAATACGTGTGCAAACCTCTGGAACAAAAAAAACACTGTTGCACCTCTAGAACAAACATTGGGCACCACGGCACCACTAGAACCCCCCCTGTTGCACGTCACTCATCATACATGAGCTGCTGGTGACACGGTGACACGAACCCGTGTGACCACGGTTGTTCACAGCGTCCGCCGATGTCTCCAGCCTGGACCACCTGGTCCGAGTGGACTCCCAGTCGACGAGCTGTTTAAGTGGCATATGGGCATCGAAGTCGGCCAGGGGCGGCTGTTGCAGGGGTCATCAGATTGGCATAGATTCCAGTGTTATGGAGTGATATGGATCCACATACCTTCTCAGAAGGTCAGACTGGACCCTCCTGGCACCCACCCCAAACACCTTCTCAAAGGGTACTTGGATCCTTAGGGGGGGAGTGATATGGAGTGTCTGCAATGGTCTATTCATAAACCTTCCCCCGTCGACAAAGGGGCGCGCAACGCCAGCCCGAGTGACAGTTGCTGAAGGCTGATGGGACGATGGCCTCAAACCGCCCGAGTTTCAATGAATTGGTCCAAGGGAAAATCTACCGGAAACCTATGGTGTTCATTCCCAAGACTACCTGGGGCTCCAAGAACCTACAAATTTTCAGGGTTTGGGCGCGTAGGGTATGTGAATGTGCATTTTGTTGTACACCTTCCCTGGTCACCGATTCTGCGAGACTTGGAACCTTTGAGCGGTCAGGAGAAGAATCCGTTCAGCCACGAACTAACCACATCTGCAAAACACCTGCGGCTTGGGTTGAACAGGCGGCTCCAACCTCTGTGAAACCTGTGAAGCCCTGTTGGGTGAGGAACATGGAGCCGGTGACGCTTCTCTCTTACCCTTCACAAGGTGTTTGACAAGGTCATGACCCAAAAGTGGCCTATGCTGCTGAACGGTTCCGTGTATGTTGCTCCAAAACCTGTCCCAAGAAGGGAGACAAGAAGGGAGACATACAGCGACTGTACCCCTTGCAACCAAAAACAAACCAAGAAGGGAGACCAGTGGGGAGACATCTCGGAGAAGTCTTCTCGTGACATCTCGTGAACATCACGTAACGACGGCTGCGGCTGGTTTTTCTCTTCGCAAAAGAACACGGGCAGCGCCCAGATTCCCAAAACACCTAACTACCATGGTGTCATTGATCTACTAGAGATTCCAGAATGGAATCAAGAAATAGCCTTGATAGTTACAGGAACCTGGCAAAGTCATCCAATCATCCCTGGTCACTGTTTCAATGCCAAATCACCATGGCAAAACTGTTTCCAGAAAGTCATCCCCCAGTCAACCCCAGCCACAAAGATGGGTAAATCTAAGGATCCCAATCGGACAGTGATAGTTGTTATACCCCAAAGATGATCGCGACATCCAAGGAAGGGATCGGTTACCATGCTGTCCGAGTTCTAAACCTCCAGTGAGTGTTCCATGCGAAGACCTGGGTTCTAGGAACACACTTCGCCCAATGTGTCTGGAAAGGGGTCATTTGCTGGATCTGCTGGTGTTGAACACATTCCTTTGCAACATCCTCAACAAAAACAACAAAATGTGCTGTTGGGACAGCCCTGGGTGTGGCTGAAAGAAAATCTCAGGCACGCCAATGTGGTGCGTGAACGACCACTCGGGAACACCCGTGGTGTAGTGACACTATACTATAGTGTCATAGATCTTCTTCATGGGTCCTCTTTACTACTGGAGGAATCCTGAGCGGTACCCTCCCTTTTGTAGACATAATACAGCGGAACAGACCAAAGAAGTGTGTCAACCCGCCATGCCATTTTATCCAGCGGCAAAAATGTAGAGGCAGTACATCGTGGCCAAAGTTCCAAAACTGATGTAGATAATCCTGGGCAGCAAAACATGTGGAAAAAAAAGATCTGAAATTCTCCACCAACATGGGAGTGCAATCAGCAACATCCTCCTGGGCAATATTCCAAAACCACGCTTCTTTCAGGTGTTTCACCCGCTGCCCAAGCAACACTTCCCAAGTGAGCCCCACTGCCTGCACTTTGGTGATCGGTGAGCGCCCATGGAAAAGTCCAGTGTTTCTCCTCCCTCTCTAAACACGACCTGTCTGGGACTGGCATAGTTGCATATATGTGCATACATTGCGGTGGTTGAAAAGGTGCCAATGTAGGCATATATTATATTAAGGTATAGTATATTATATACCAATATATGCAATATATTATAAGAGGGGAGCGCTGTGAGCGGCGCGTTTTTCGATGAACATGAGCATTTTTCAATTTGTTTAATGAGTTTTCTGGAGAATGATTGATGTGTCTGACATTGCCTGGAAGGATCTGTCTGTTAGCATTTGTCATCCATCAAGGATTCAGGAAACGCCATTTGTAGCATTCGTCTGCTGTAGTAATTTCACTTCCAAGGAAATTGAAAAATGTTTAAAATATCCCAGGACATCACAAACATCCAAAATTCGAATTTTCCAAAATTCCAATTTAAAAAAACAACTAGACGACGAGTGGCCCGAAAGCATTTTTAATCACGTAGGAAGTCAGAGTGCGAGTTATCTGTTAAGTGTGTTATAAGTGTTCAGTGTGAAGTGTTAAGTCGAGTGTGTTGAGGCAGTGTGTGGGTCTCTGTGTGTGTATCTATGTCTGTGTGTGTATGTGTCTCTCTCTGTATGTCTTTCTGAAGCGCAGGAACACCTGTTTTCTGCAAGTTCTTCACCTCTCGAAAGTCACCTCCGCGTAGTAAAGTTGTACTACAAAGTCGCCAGTTCTCATCTTCCAGCTCCACAGATTGCTCCGTGTACTAAAGTTCTACTACCAAGTCGCCAGTTCTCATCTTCCAGCTCCCCAGATACTCCGCGTACTCAAGTTGTACTACCAAGTCGCCAGTTCTCATCTTCCAGCTCCCCGGATACTCCGCGTACTAATGTTGTACTACCAAGTCATTGTACTACCAAGTCACCAGTTCTCATCTTCCCACTCCCCAGATACTCCGCGTACTAAAGTTGTACTACCTTAAGTCGCCAGTTCTCAGCTTCCAGCTCCCCAGCTATACTCCGCGTACTACAGTTGTACTACAAAGTCGCCAGTGCTCATCTTCCAGCTCCCGAGATACTCCGCGTACTCAAGTTGTACTACCAAGTCGCCAGTTCTCATCTTCCCACTCCCCAGATTGCTCCGCGTACTAAAGTTGTACTACCAAGTCGCCAGTTCTCATCTTCCAGCTCCCCAGCTACTCCGCGTACTAAAGTTGTACTAGAAAGTCGCCAGTTCTCAGCTTCCAGCTCCCCAGATTGCTCCGCGTACTAAAGTTGTACTAGAAACTCACCAGTTCTCAGCTTCCAGC